CTACCATCCCCATCTGTAAGCAATGCAAAGCTTTAAAAAGCGCGAATTGTTTGTGCGTTCGGTTCGCGAACGCTTCTCGTTCGGTAGTTTGCCTTATGAACATTACACTGACAGCCTGTAATTCAAAAAGCCGAACTAGTTATACGAATGAATGAAAGAATGATATAGACAATTGCTATTCATTCGGTTATTCATTCGGTTATTAGTTCGGCTTTTTGAATTACACAGTGTGCTGTGTCAATTCGCACAGAGTGTAATTCAAAATGCCGAATGAACGAACAAACGAAAGATTTTCGGTAAACGGCCATTCGTTTGTTCGTTCTTTAGTTTGGATACCCATTCTTTATTCGGTATTCGTAAGAATGGAAGAAAATGCATATTTTCGGACGAAAATCAATTCGGACGAATACGAATGCCCAAGTCTAGTCAGGAGACAAGCCAAGTAAAGGGAGCCAGAAAACAGGAGAGCGAGAAACAAGCCGAGGTCAAAGGAATGGAGAAATCAGAAAAATCGGAATAACAAGCCAAATAATCGGTAACCAGAGAGAAACGCAAGCAAACTGCACTACAGGTAACACAAGACCACAACAGGGCACTGAGAGACAGAAAAGGTAAGTATATAAACCCTGTGCTTAATTCTGATTGGATAACTTCCAATCAGAATTAACAAACACACGTGGGGGATATTTATACCTCCCACTGTGATTAAGGTACTGTGTCTTTAACGCCGGGTCACGTGACTGACCCCAGCGGTCGCATAAGTGCGCGGGCTCCAGCGTGCAGCGTTATACATGCTGCCGCTGGGAGACGAGGAGGGACTGGACTTGCCGACAGGCAGGGGAAGGGGAGACCGCAGGCGGCGAAGGACTGAGGGTGAGTACCGCAAGATTGCTTCCTCCCCTCACAGCGGGGCCCTGACATTTTCAAGTTGAGCTTATCCTACTCCTCGATACGGAGAAGGAAAGAATACTTGAATAATACTGTTATTGTTTAAATAGCGCACATCTAATGAGTGCACTAGGATATCTTTTGTATCTACATTTAATATACATAGTAATCGAGTGGCACATATTCAAAAAGAGGGTGGCCTTTTGGATTCACACGTGAGACACTTTATGGCCTAAGGGACTTAATAGAGAATTTTCACTTAACAATTTTTTGTAATTTCTTCTATATACACTGCTTCTGGAATTAGATTGATTACTTTTCCTGTTTACACTTTAGCATGTTTGACTTGTACGTCGGATCCCTTTTCTGTGTCTACCTGATTCATGGCAGTATCTTATGGGGAGAATTTGATTCCTCAGATAATACAGTTTTTATCTGCTTATATTAAATAATTGCATGTGACCTATATACACTGCTTCTGGTACTAGATTGATTACTTTTTCTATTTACATTTTAGCAGCTCACTCAAAAAGAGGGAGGTCTTTTGGATTCATACTTTAGACACTTTATGGCCTAAGCAGTGGCGTCTCTAGGATTAATTTTAAGGGGGGGCACGTGGTGGGCCAGGGACAAAAGTTAACCCCGCCCTCGTTGCAGTTTGACCCCACCCCTGCTGCATGTTAAGCCCCGCCCGTCCTTTATTTTCCACCAGGGATTATTAAAAACAAACACATTTCCCTTGATACAGTGCCATAGTTGCCAACATTTGAAAAAAATTTCCAAGGACATTTTGCAGCACAGCTATCAATTACTGTCTGTGTATAATATCCATGGACAGTCAGTACTCTCTGTATAATACAGGGTTGTGTGTATAATAAATTGGGACAGTCAGTGTTCCCTGTATAGTGCTGCTCTCTGTATAATACATGGCTGTGTGTATAATATCCCGGAACAGTCAGTGCTCCCTGTATAATGCTGCTCTCTGTATAATACAGGTCTGTTTGTTCTATATCCCAAGACAGAGAGCAGCACTATACAGGGAACACTGACTGTCCCAGGATATTATACAGACACAGACCTGTATTATACAAAGAGCGGCACTATACAGGAAGCACTGACTATCCCGGGATATTATACAGGGAGTGCAGAATTATTAGGCAAATTAGTATTTTGACCACATCATCCTCTTTATGCATGTTGTCTTACTCCAAGCTGTATAGGCTCGAAAGCCTACTACCAATTAAGCATATTAGGTGATGTGCATCTCTGTAATGAGAAGGGTGTGGTCTAATGACATCAACACCCTATATCAGGTGTGCATAATTATTAGGCAACTTCCTTTCCTTTGGCAAAATGGGTCAAAAGAAGGACTTGACAGGCTCAGAAAAGTCAAAAATAGTGAGATATCTTGCAGAGGGATGCAGCACTCTTAAAATTGCAAAGCTTCTGAAGCGTGATCATCGAACAATCAAGCGTTTCATTCAAAATAGTCAACAGGGTCGCAAGAAGCGTGTGGAAAAACCAAGGCGCAAAATAACTGCCCATGAACTGAGAAAAGTCAAGCGTGCAGCTGCCACGATGCCACTTGCCACCAGTTTGGCCATATTTCAGAGCTGCAACATCACTGGAGTGCCCAAAAGCACAAGGTGTGCAATACTCAGAGACATGGCCAAGGTAAGAAAGGCTGAAAGACGACCACCACTGAACAAGACACACAAGCTGAAACGTCAAGACTGGGCCAAGAAATATCTCAAGACTGATTTTTCTAAGGTTTTATGGACTGATGAAATGAGAGTGAGTCTTGATGGGCCAGATGGATGGGCCCGTGGCTGGATTGGTAAAGGGCAGAGAGCTCCAGTCCGACTCAGACGCCAGCAAGGTGGAGGTGGAGTACTGGTTTGGGCTGATATCATCAAAGATGAGCTTGTGGGGCCTTTTCGGGTTGAGGATGGAGTCAAGCTCAACTCCCAGTCCTACTGCCAGTTCCTGGAAGACACCTTCTTCAAGCAGTGGTACAGGAAGAAGTCTGCATCCTTCAAGAAAAACATGATCTTCATGCAGGACAATGCTCCATCACACGCGTCCAAGTACTCCACAGCGTGGCTGGCAAGAAAGGGTATAAAAGAAGAAAATCTAATGACATGGCCTCCTTGTTCACCTGATCTGAACCCCATTGAGAACCTGTGGTCCATCATCAAATGTGAGATTTACAAGGAGGGAAAACAGTACACCTCTCTGAACAGTGTCTGGGAGGCTGTGGTTGCTGCTGCACGCAATGTTGATGGTGAACAGATCAAAACACTGACAGAATCCATGGATGGCAGGCTTTTGAGTGTCCTTGCAAAGAAAGGTGGCTATATTGGTCACTGATTTGTTTTTGTTTTGTTTTTGAATGTCAGAAATGTATATTTGTGAATGTTGAGATGTTATATTGGTTTCACAGATATCCCCCTAACATAGCTAAAACTAAAAACAAACTAAAAACTACTTCCAAAAATATTCAGCTTTGATATTAATGAGTTTTTTGGGTTCATTGAGAACATGGTTGTTGTTCAATAATAAAATTAATCCTCAAAAATACAACTTGCCTAATAATTCTGCACTCCTTGTACACACAGAGATCTGTATTATACAGAGAACATCACTATAGTATTATACAGATAGCTGAGCATATACCCCATGTCCCAATCTCTAGACTACTAGTACCTGTCAACAGCAGCTCCCAGAGGCGTGTAACAGGGCTAAAGTGTGCGGCAGCTCACACAGATGATTCAGCGGTAAAGCACACTCGCTGGCAGAGCCAAACTGGGAATCCAAAGCAGCCCTGGAAAAAAATGTATGCTATTCCTACAAGTCAATATATATATATATCTATAGATATAGATATATATATTGTACAGTAAGCACACAAGCTCACTGACATGTGCAAATAGGCTTACTGACAGACAAAATTCTCTGACTCACACACAAGCTTACTACAGACAAACTCAAAGCTCACTACAAAGAAGTTCAGGGACACACACAAACTCACTAAAGACAAGCTCACTGACACACACATGCTCACTAAATAGAAGCTCACTGACACACAAGCAGTACCATCTTAACAGCGTTAAGGGCCCCCGGGCAAAGCAGTGCACTGGGGCCCTTCCTACACAACAACTCACAGGAATACAGAAAGCTCACTGAATATGAACACCGAGAGACTGCTGAATACACACACACACACAGATTTCTGAATGCACACAGGCGTTGCTGAATGCACACAGGCTGATTTATACACACACACACAGACAGACTGCTGAGTCCATACACACACACACAGACATACTGCTGAGTCCATACACACACAGACAGACTGCTGAGTCCATACACACAGACTGCGGAGTCCATACACACACACAAGCTTCCTCACCAGCAGACAGACATACACATTTCAAGCCTACCTGTCACTGGAGGCTGTTGCTGGGGGTCAGACAGCCATCTTCTGGCCTTTCCAGCAGAAGCAAGGTCTGCTGCTTAACGGCAGGGGCGGGGCTTCATTTGGGGCGGGGTCTGTGCCGGGGAGCCTGTCAGTGCTCCCTGCGGCCACAGACAGCACCCAGCTCTCCAGCTCCTCTGTCCTGCATTCCCTCAGGCTGTAACAGACTTACAGTCCGAGGGAATATAATTTAAGAACATGGTCAGCAAGTTGCCGGCCCGGCATTTGAGGGGGCACGGGGGGCCCAGCATGATGTAAAGGGGACATGCCCCCCCCCACCCTAGTGACGCCACTGGGCCTAAGGGACTCAGTTGAGAATTTTCCCTAACCTCTTTTCTGTATTTTTTTTATATATACACTGCTTCTGTAATGAGATTACTGTTTATGCTTTAGCATGTTTGACTTATAAGTCTGATCCCAATTTTGTGTCCACCTCAATCATTGCATTCTCTTATGGGGAGAATTTGATTCCTCAGATACTACAGTTTCTATCTGCTTATATTATATAATTGCATATGACCTATATACACACTGCTTTTGGGACTAGATTGGTTACTTTTCCTATTCAGGTTTTAGCATGTTTGACTTAGAAGTCTGACCCCAATTTTTTGTCCACAATATTCATGGCGGTCTCAGATGGTGAGAACTTGACTCTTCAGATAATACATTTTCTATCTGCTTATATTACATAATTGCATATGACCTATTTTGAGATTATATAGAGAGAGAGTGAGAGAATGTCTTGTTGACATTGTATCAGATGAAATGCTGTGATTTCCCTACATTTGTTTTAGATACATGCTTCTTCCATCTGCAACATTTTGATCAAGATGGCTCTAAATGTTTAAGTTAATTTGCTGGAATATAACCTTTTTTTAATTGCACTGTGCCTTTAACATTAAAGGGACACTATAGTCACCTGAACAACTTTGGCTTAATGAAGCAGTTTTGGTGTATAGAACATGCCCCTGCAGCCTCACTGCTCAATCCGCTGCCATTTAAGAGTTAAATCCCTTTATGAACCCTAGTCACACCTCCCTGCATGTGACTTGCACAGCCTTCTATAAACACTTCCTGTAAACAGAGCCCTATTTAGTCTTTCTTTATTGCAAGTTCTGTTTAATTAAGATTTTCTTATTCCCTGCTATGTTAATAGCTTGCTAGACTCTGCAAGAGCCTCCTGTATGTGATTAAAGTTCAATTTAGAGATTGAGATACAATTATTTAAGGTAAATTACATCTGTTTGAAAGTGTAACCAGTTTTTTTTTCATGCAGGCTCTGTCAATCATAGCCAGGGGAGGTGTGGCTAGGGTTGCATAAACAGAAACAAAGTGATTTAACTCCTAAATGCAGTGAATTGAGCAGTGAAATTGCAGGGGAATGATCTATACACTAAAACTGCTTTAGTTAGCTAAAGTAATTTAGGTGACTATAGTGTTCCTTTAAAACATACCATCTTATGCCTTGTCAAATTCCATGCCATGTATTTAACTATACTGCTTTATACTTTGAAAAAACTCCATGTCATGTTTTACTAATGATATTATGCATGTAATTTAGATGTGATTTTTTTTTTTATTGAGGAATTAATTGGTTGTGGGGTTATATATGCACATTTGCAGTGTGTTATCCATATGCATTATTAAGGCTCCGCTGAGCCGAAACGTCACACTTTCTATGGGGTGGGTCACCTATTAATAAATATACCATCCTTATTATTGGAGTGTTGCCTGCGTTTATTCCTTTTGAAGATTTTACTGGTGGGTCCAGTCCGCCTGGCACGGAGCACCTTCATTGTGGATGGCGGGTGTGGCAAACCTAGCCACTTAAGACTATTGCATGTGTGGATATTATAAAGTTTGCTGGCTGTAAGAACCAAGTGTAATGTAGTATGGGGCGTGCAAGCGAACAAGAGCGTTCGTATGCTTGTAATACGTGAAACCCAGCATTGCCTATGCAGTTTCACGAACAGTGAGTTTAAACACTGTTCGTGAAACGAATGACCTACCGAACGGTCGACCACACACAGGAGGTCGTGTGGCGCCCATTAACCGATTGCAACATTGTTGCAATCGGTAGTTAAAGACTTCCCTAGGTGGCCGTCGTTCGGCTACCGACCACGCGGCGGTCGGCCATCTTGATTCCTTTGTTAGCCCAGCGGGGTTTTGCCGTAGAGCGCCTGGAACTAAAAACGGCTACTAGACGGCGCGAACCCCGCTGGACTTCCAAGCCGTTCGGGAGCCCCGGTCGTTCGGTAGTTTGTTCTCCTAATGTCAATCGCTATTTTAACCGTATGTTGGAAATAATGTGTATTTCGTACGGCGTTCGGTTAGTTAGACTGGGAGCTGAGCGGTATTTCCACGAACTATGCGTCAGCCTCCAGCTATCTACTGAACGTCCATTCGTGTAAAACAAGTGAATATTATTAAAGTTATGGATTTTAATGTAAAATGAAAGTTCTGCTGCACGGAGGGATAATCCCATTAACTGTATATTCCAGTGGGAGTATCCCTCTCGTCCAGCAGTGCATGATGGGAGAAATGTATGTGTTGGGCAGTTCCCCATGTAGTCCCCTACTGTACAACCCCTGTAATGTCAGTAGGGAAACCCCTTGCATGGGGAATCCCATAAATACAGTGTCCTGTGAATAAAACATCAGTTGACTCCCAGCCTATGTGTCGTCTAGTTCTTGGGAAGGAAGGATTACTACAACGCTACCGGGATTATTGTATGCTGTGCTTATTCCCCTGGATTATTTTATGTTATTCCTGTTACCCAGCGGAGATATTGTGGATTATACTGCCTCTCCGCTACAGCGGGAGCATTCACATGGTATCTGTGTGCAGGTTTTTTTTTTCATATTTTTTTTTGTATTGTGTCTCAAAACTAGTATTTTTTTTTTTTATCTTCCCTTTTAATGGCACAAATAGTACTATATAGTTTCCGTTTACCCTTTTGGGATACACAGCCTTGCCTGACAATTATGTCTTGTTTTAGTCTGGCTCATGAAATACAAAAATTATAACAAAAATATAATTACATGCGTTTTTGTTTTGTTAAGGTGTTGCCATGGCTACTTATGTAATTGTTTAAAATATATTGTGATTTTCATGAGTTGATAAACGTCATGCAAAATTTAACCAAAGTAGCGAAGTTGGAAAAATCGCAAACTTGGCACAAATGAAAACTTTCTCCAGTGTGTCTATTTTACAAGTCATGTGATGAAATCTTTAAGTAAATAAACACACAAATGCTTTCCTTATCACTGGTACAAAGCAATATACGGAGGAGTATTAGGATGTAAATTATCCTTTGTGAATAAGTGTATTCCAAGAAAAGACCAGCTGCAGAAATCCAGAAAGCCAAATAAGTGAAACAGAATATTTACATGAGGCAATTTTCTATTTACATATAATCTTATCTATTGCTAACCTTAAGCAATTCATATTTATCAGCTGTCATTGGTTATGTATTTTTAATTGTTGTAAAATGGATGAGGTAGATTGTCAATGTGTGTAATCAAAGATTAACCCTTTTAATAACCAATGACATAGCACATATGATATGACTTCCCAGACCATGCATGATATGATTGCATTACAGTTGGCAATGCACTGTGGGAGTTGTAGTCTTACAATAACTTAACTCTACCTTTTGCAACCCCTAGTCTAAGCCATTGTTATCAAGGGGTTAAAACTGGAATGCACTGTGGCAAGTTTAATTATAAACAGGTCCTAATTTTCACAAGAGTTTCAGACTTCGCCTGCTGTGAATAAAGACTGAATATCGCTCAGTTAAAATGTTTCAGAGTCTGATAATCTGTCATTAGACCCATCTTCAGTTGTCATATTGCGATTCTGTGTTTCACTGATATAGCTGCAATTGACTGTGGAATCATCATAGAGGTGCGACTTATTCAAACTGTCCTTTTTAAAGTAAACAAAGTTGAAAGATGTCATTGTGCTGGAAGGAGGAAAAGACATCATGGAAGCCAATATGAGTGCCAGACAGTCAGCTACATCTTTGTTAGGCGCACAAGCCAGTGCTGGGGTGTGACCTGGGCACAAACGCAGACAAAGCAACAGTTAGTATTATAAAGCAGTGAGCGTTCCACACAACAGAGCCATCTGACATGCAAGGGATGCAGGTCTTTGCTATAGGACATATCAGAATGATTACTTACTTAACGAGACATGCAACATACAACATTTTAAAGCAGGAAACTATGTGGTTTTAAACAAAGTAAAAATAGTGGAAGAAAACCAACACGATAGGTACCTTGGAATTGTTCAGTTTTTTTTGTTGATACAAGTTTTGCATTTACCACTGAAAAAAACCTTTTGGTTGGATATTGAGAAAGGCAGGATTTTGATTTTTAGTTGGGAGGAGACTATGAGACAGTTTATTTTTTTTAAATTGGTAGTTCTTTTAAAAATTACAGTGAGGAAATCAGGAATTCTGTTTCCCAAAATGTAATTTATGTTTTTTAAACTACGTGCCAATGTTTCTTTTTATGGCTTTCTCTATTTTTTGGCATGTGCACTATATTTAGTAATGAATGCAAAATCAAATGTTTGGGGATTTTTTTGAGATTTCTTTTTAGTGTTATTAAGAAACGAAGATCTATCTGTATTCCCAATTTCTAATTCATCTTTCTCTATTTTCTCTCTATTCTAGCCTTTTCCAATATATCTGTTCTTTATGATATTGGATTGAGTGGAAAATGTCTGTTTGTCAGTACAGTTCCTCCTGAGCTGAAGTAGTTGGCTTTTGGGAATATTCACCAACCAGGAGGGATGATGTGAGCTGGTGCATTCTATTGCAATATTACAGTCTGTAGTTTTGAAAAAAATTTGGTTTTTAGGTTTCCATTATCAATAAAGAAAGTAAGGTCCAAAAAATCTATATGTTCTGACTGAAAAGTGCAAGTGAAATGTAAGTTGTATTGATTTTGACTAATCCAATGTAGAAAGGAATTAGAATCAACTTCCCAAAGGCTGTTAGAATCAACTTCCCAAATAATAAAAACATAAATCGATGTATCGCCGCCACAAGACGATTCTACCCCCCAAAGAAATCCTGCAAAGCTGAGGGCAAACTTCATTCCCATAGCGGCACCACACATTTTAAAAAACAAACTTGGATTCAAACAAAAACTTTATTTGTGAGAACAAAATTAATACAACTGACAAGGAAATCTATTTGTGATATAGCTAACTGATTATGGGACACCAACAGAGGCGGCTCTCTAATTAGGTGATTTAGGCGGCCGCCTAAGGCCTCGCGCTGATGGGGGCCTCGCGGCCGCCTAAATCGCCTTAGGGCAGTGTGACAGATCGGGTCCTTGGTCAGAGACCGAGGACCCGACACAGGAGGGGGCCCGGTGGCTTGCCCTTTATGCCGCCGGGTGCTAGGCCCCTCCTATGCCTGCCCGGGAGAGAGTCAGCCTGTCTGCAGCTCCGCCGAGTGCAGAGCTGCAGACTGAGGGGGTCTCTCGATCTCACCCAATCAGAGCGTTGCCGGTCTTACCATGTAGTCTGCAGCTCTGCACCCGGCGGAGCTGCAGACCTTAAAGGGAGCCCACCGGACCACCAGGGCTACAGCCTGGCCGCCCACTGGACCACCAGGGAATAAATTAATCCCAAGGTATTTATGCCTCCGCTCCCCACCCTGCCCTCCTACCACCCTCTGCCCCAGCCACCCTACCACCACCACTGCCCCAGCCACCCTACCACCACCACTGCCCCAGCCACCCCACCACCACTGCCCCAGCCACCCTACCACCAATGCCCCAGCCACCCTCTGCCCCAGCCACCCCACCACCACTGCCCCAGCCACCCTCTGACCC